CTTTCGGCTCCGGCCCGGCCCGGGGAAGGCGCCTTTGCCCTGCTGTCCTCCAACGGCCTGCACCCGCCGGCACCCCGCAGTCTCTGGTCTGGTAGTCCCTGGGGCCTCGGGACCGGCTGGCTCTGGGCAGCAGGCGCCCCAGGAGAGCGGAGGTTGGGAGGCAGCGGGGCCTCCGCCCTTCCAGGCCTTAGACTGCAGCAACCGCCCTGGGTCTGCTGGGGACCTGGATGGGGAGAAACTGAGGCCCGCGCGCACACGCACACTCACAAAATGTGTCCTTTCCGGACCATTACCCCTTTACAAATTTTATTATCCCGGATTGTTAATAAAGGGTGGCAGTTCAGATCTTCATCTACCTCTGTCTGAACAAAGGAAGTCCTGAGTCCTTTGTAACTGGTTTTGTAGGTGGCACCAAAGTTAAAGATTCACGTCCCTCATGCCCTGTGTCCTCTTCTTGCTGCTCAGCTCTGCTCTGAGCCCCCCCCCCCAGCTGAGGCTGGGGCTTCTCTGCAGAGAGGAGGGAGGTGGGCCGACCCAAGGGGAACGAGCAGGTGTCTCTCCTCTCTCTCTCTCTCTCTCTCTCTCTCTCTCTCTCTCTCTCTCTCTCTCTCTCTATTTATTTGTAGACATAGGTATCTTGGGGACTTGGAGGAGTACATTAAATTATCCCATCATACAAACCTCCCGTGGAGGCCGCCGATTAATTCAATCATATAGATAGGCAAGATGGATTACTTTGTCTTTAAAACAATCGAAAGCAAACGCTGTTTTCGTTTGTTGTAGGAATTATTTTTCTGCAGGAGGCAGCTGCCTTGGAGAGACTGCATTAACAAAACCTCTAGTGGAAAACGTTCCAACTAAGAGCGGAGGAAGTCTATCTGCCGGCGTCGCGGTCACCCAGACGTTCGGTCCCCGCCTCTCTGTCCGCTGGAAAGTCACGCGGATGACAAACGCTACGTGCCGGCCCGGTTTGATAACGAATAACGAATAACTGACTCGACGATATTCTCCCCTACCCCTGCGCTTCTGGTCTACACAAACGAGGCCAAATGGAGACTAAACAATTATCTAAATAGTGCAAAGGCACCCCCCAAACAGACTTGGCTCCAGTCGTTTGTGACGGCAGCCTAGTGGGAAGTTTTGCAGTCGCATTGTCGGATAATTGCCTTAATCTCCACTTCTCCCCACTTTGGAGCGGAAGACAGTAGAACCACGGCGGAAAAACAGCCCCCCTCCTGGGTGCGCAGAGCCCCCCAGGAATCATTGCTCCGAGCTGAGTAGGAGAAGCCCCTTGCCTCAACTTCTAAGCCTGGCTTTCCTGCGCCCCGCAGCTCCTGGGCCAGGCAGGGCCCCCGGAGCCGCACGCGGCGTCCTAGCCCCAGGGACGGTGGGCTTCCAGCTCTGAGCCCAGGGCTCAGGGCGCGGAGGAAACAGAAAAGGGGAGAGGGAGTCTGGGCACATCCCGGGAGCCATCCGGCCGGCCCAGGCTGAGCGGACGCTGGGAGGTTTCCGAGGGGTCTCTGACAGAGAGGACAGTCTTCACCCTTCGGGAGTGATTTTCTGGACTTGGGGCCCCTACCCCAAACCCCACTTCCTCTACCTGAAGAAAAGAAAAGGAGCTCCTTCTGGCTCCTAGTGACCTGCCTTAGGGCACCATCCCTCCCCCACCCCACACACATTCCCGCGGTGTCACCGCGACCCCAGGACGGGTATTTCCTGGAGTGTTCGCCACCTCCGCCTTCCAGGCGCTTTTGAAAAGCAGCAGGGCCCCCGGAGGCCTTGTTTTAAATGTCTCTGTGACGTCGCGCCCCTCCTCACAGCTGGGACCCTTCGGCGGCCCCGGGGCGGGGTGCAGGCCCTGCTACGCTCCCGCCAAACCTCCGTTACTGCTGTCGCCCGCAGGGCCTTCAGGCTGCACGCTGTGGAGGTGTCAGGAGAGAGCCCAAGGGTTCCTGCAGGGCGTTTCTGCCAATTGAGTCAAGGGCTGTGGAGGAGACGGTTGGTTGAAGTGCTCCGTGGAGCAGCAGAAAGGGGCATCAAAAATTGTAACCTGAAAATGAAAGCTTTAACCTGTTCCCCAGAGACTTCATGTCTGGGTCTTAATGTGCAACTAACACCACTAACAACAGTCATAAAATAAGTAAAATGCTTGAAATAAAATCGATCCGTTTGCCGGAGGCTTCCTTCCGAGTAAGCTTATAAAGCGCAAATGCAAATATCATTCCCTGGCGCATGTCCATAGCTACACCAGTGGAAAGTTGATCTTTATAAAACTGCAGCCCCCATCCCGCCCCCACCCCCCGCATGCCAGATACTAATTTCACAACAGCAACTTTTACGTCCAAAGTGGGGAGCTGCTGCTGTTCGGTTTCAATTTACATAACGAGCTGGGCTGGTGGAGGGAGGAGGTGAGGGAAGGGCACAACTGTCCTTTGCAAAGCCGGGCCCGCTGGCGTTTCGAATTCGGAAAACGACTGATTGCTGCGTCCATCTCCGTGCACCGATAGCAGCGCAAAAGCAGTTTAAGGAGCGAATTCACCAAATGCTGAGGCGTTGAGAAAGACAACTTAATTGTCCTCCAGGCTGAAGCCAAAGAGCCACTTAAAGCCTTGAACAGGGAACTGATAAGACCTTCGATATGCAGGGCTGGGGGTTGGAGACAGATTTCATTTTAAAGTCATGGCGCTTCACTCCCACCCCACCGCTACCCCGCCCCGTGTTTTGGGGACCGAGTTCTAAACTTCCTGCTGACAAATCTGGCGTTTCTGCCAACTCTGCAGTGACTTGGCCCTGCTAACGACCTGGAAGAGGGTCTCAAAAGCCCCTGCACCGCAGGCCAGAAGGCAACTGCCTCGGGATTCGGAGCTTCCGGCACCCCTCCCTCAAAAGCCTAATTCTAGAAGTAGCAGGTCTTCCTTTTCTCGATGTAAATGTTCACTTTGAAATACAATAATTTTGCAAAAATTTTCAAGTGATACGGAGCTGTGCCTACCACAGAAGTCAGCGTCCTTGACATCTAACAACCCAAGCTGCAATTTGAATTTTCCTGCAGAAGTGAGGAAGCCACTATCAGAGCCAGGCAGCCAAAAGGGGCCCCCCACTTTTTAGAGTTAATAGATTGCCACAAAGCTGAGGAGCCTAGGTGTTAACTGCCTCACTCCACTTCTTCACAGTCTCCCAACTCTCCACTTCTCCTGGGTTCTAGTAAATGCCCTGGGGTTAGTCTCCCCGGGTTGCCGAAGTGCAGAATCGCGCTGCAGGAGGGAGGCCCGTCCTTCCCCTGCGTGTTCATTTCTTTCCCTCTCATTTCTCTTCTTCCTATCCCATGCCAGTCACCCAGCGCCTGCAGATCTCACGCCTATGCTCAAGGCGTGAGGCCCTTCTGTGCTTTTCCTCCCTGGATCCTTGGGCCGCCCTGCAGGTGCGATCCTGAACATTCCCCAAACACACCGTATCTCCGCGAGTCGGCAGCCCCGCGCGAGTGGAGATGGAGATTAGCCTGGGGAGCGTCAAGCTCTTGGACATATTTATTTGTTTCTTGTCTTCACACCTGCTAATGTCACAGAGCCCGCAGCCTGACCCTCCTCTGAGCCGAAACGTGTCCGGCCGGACAAGGGGGCTGTGTGCACTGCGAGCCGGCGGGACCCCTCACGGGTGAGGAAGGGAAGGCGCTGAGCTCGGCAGCCAGGTCGCCCGCACCCTCGGGCCGCCAAGGACCCTGGGCCGAGGAGCACGGCCCACGGCGGGTGCGGGGGTGGAGGACCGTGGGGTGCTCCGCAGGGCCCCATATCTCCCTCCCTTATTTCGACTGGGGAGGGGTCACGGAGCCGGCGAGGTGGGGCAACTGCACCTTATCCCCGCCCCCCAACAGAGAGCGGCTGTAACTGAGCCCTCCAAATCGCGTCCTTTGTAAATGAGTTCAGGACAGGAGAACCTCCAGGTGGGGAACCACTGGCGCCACCTGTGAACCCAGTGAGACTGCGTCGGGAGGGGAGAAGGGGAGGTGGGAGGAGGAGTAGAGTGGGAAGAAAGGTGGGGGGATAGGTGGACGGGAGGAGAGGCCCAGAAACCCTAGCTCTGGAGCCAGCCGGATCGGCCGAAAGAACGAGAGAGCCAGCGCGAGGCCGGACTGGAGGACTCGGTGGACATCTTGGGGCGGTGGACGGAGGAAGGGGTCTGCGTGGGGCCCAGGAGCACCCGGGAAGTCTGCTCAGGGCTGGAAGAGGGAGGCAGCTCTGGGCGCCGGCAGCAGGCAGGGAGGGTGCGGGGCTTGGGTCGACGCGGGCGCGGGGCCCGGGCGGCCGGCGCGCGTGTGGTCAGCGCGGCGTTCCTCTGGCCTCCGGGCGCGGGCCGGCCGGGCTTGGCCTCCAGCTCATTCAGAGGCGGTTCTCGCCTGCCATTGGCTGCCGCCGCCGTGGCGGGGCGGGGCTCCGCTGCCCGGAAAAAATGTAACTGCGTAAAAAAGTCCTCGCCTGGGTGACGGATGCTTAAAAGTTCAGAAGTTTTCCCAATGCTTCCTTAAGCGGCTGGCGCGCGAGAGACTGAAAAAAGGTGACGCGGGGCCCGGGAAGGCGGCCGGCGCGCTGCCCCCACCCCCGCCCTGGTTATTTGGCCGCCTTCGCCGTCCGCTCGGGACAGTCTCCGGGAAGGCGCAGGCAGTGTGGCGAGAAGGGCGCCTTCTTGTTCTCTATTTTTTGGGCTGCTTTTTCCCGTCTGCGCCTGGAAGTGGTTCCGCGAGTTCCTCCACGGCGGTCTGCCGCGCCCGCTCCGGCCCTCTCCCCTTGCAGCGGCCCTCGCTCGCGCCCGGCGCGGGCCCCGAGGTAGCCGGAGGCGCCGGAGCCAGCGCTGGGAGAGGCCGCGCGCGCCGGGGGAGCGCGGCCGAGCGGGGCGCAGCGCGGCGGCCGCAGCAGCTCGGCGGGGCCGACTCAGACTCGGCGGCCGCGCGGCCGGCCGCAGCGAGGGTGGGGGGCGGCGGGCGCGCGGGGCGGCGGCGAGCGGGGGCCATGCAGGCGCGCTACTCCGTGTCCAGCCCCAACTCCCTGGGAGTGGTGCCGTACCTCGGCGGCGAGCAGAGCTACTACCGCGCGGCCGCGGCGGCGGCCGGGGGCGGCTACACCGCCATGCCGGCCCCCATGAGCGTGTACTCCCACCCCGCGCACGCCGAGCAGTACCCGGGCGGCATGGCCCGCGCCTACGGGCCCTACACGCCGCAGCCGCAGCCCAAGGACATGGTGAAGCCGCCCTACAGCTACATCGCGCTCATCACCATGGCCATCCAGAACGCCCCGGACAAGAAGATCACGCTCAACGGCATCTACCAGTTCATCATGGACCGCTTCCCCTTCTACCGGGACAACAAGCAGGGCTGGCAGAACAGCATCCGCCACAACCTCTCGCTCAACGAGTGCTTCGTCAAGGTGCCCCGCGACGACAAGAAGCCGGGCAAGGGCAGCTACTGGACGCTGGACCCGGACTCCTACAACATGTTCGAGAACGGCAGCTTCCTGCGGCGGCGGCGGCGCTTCAAGAAGAAGGACGCGGTGAAGGACAAGGAGGAGAAGGACCGGCTGCACCCCAAGGAGCCGCCGCCCGGCCGCCAGCCCCCGCCCGCGCCGCCGGAGCAGGCCGACGCCGCCGTGCCGGGCCCGCAGCCGCCGCCCGTGCGCATCCAGGACATCAAGACCGAGAACGGTACGTGCCCCTCGCCGCCCCAGCCCCTGTCCCCGGCCGCCGCCCTGGGTAGCGGTAGCGCAGCCGCGGTGCCCAAAATCGAAAGCCCCGACAGCAGCAGCAGCAGCCTGTCGAGCGGGAGCAGCCCCCCGGGCAGCCTGCCGTCGGCGCGGCCGCTGAGCCTGGACGGTGCGGAGTCCGCGCCGCCGGCCGCGCAACCCGCGCCGCCGCCGCACCACGGCCAAGGCTTCAGCGTGGACAACATAATGACGTCGCTGCGGGGGTCGCCGCAGGGCGCGGCCGCCGAGCTCAGCTCCGGCCTTCTGGCCTCTGCAGCCGCGTCCTCGCGCGCGGGCATCGCACCCCCGTTGCCACTCGGCGCCTACTCGCCGGGCCAGAGCTCCCTCTACAGCTCCCCCTGCAGCCAGAGCTCCAGCGCAGGCGGCTCCGGCGGCTCCGGAGGCGGCGGCGCGGGGGGCGCGGGCAGCGCGGGGACCTACCACTGCAACCTGCAGGCCATGAGCCTGTACGCGGCCGGCGAGCGCGGCGGCCACTTGCAGGGCGCGCCCGGGGGCGCGGGCAGCTCGGCGGTGGACGACCCCCTGCCCGACTACTCTCTGCCTCCGGTCACTAGCAGCAGCTCGTCCTCCCTGAGTCACGGCAGCGGCCAGGAGGCCAGCCACCACCCTGCGGCCCACCAAGGCCGTCTCACCTCGTGGTACTTGAACCAGGCGGGCGGAGACCTGGGCCACTTGGCCAGCGCGGCGGCAGCGGCCGCCGGCTACCCGAGCCAGCAGCAGAACTTCCACTCGGTGCGGGAGATGTTCGAGTCCCAGAGGATCGGCTTGAACAACTCTCCGGTGAACGGGAACAGTAGCTGTCAGATGGCCTTCCCTTCCAGCCAGTCTCTGTACCGCACGTCCGGAGCCTTCGTCTATGACTGCAGCAAGTTTTGACACCGCCTCCTCCCCTCGCACACACCCAGAGCCGAACTGAATAGAAGCCCGAAGCAAAAACAGCCAAAGGACCCCATCAATACAAAATCGAAACTAAAAAGATACAACTTAAAAAACTTAAGAACATGCACCACACCAACGAACAGAATCCTCCAGAAATTCAGCTCACCAGCACAAAGAAAACTCTATTTTCTTAAAAGATTAACTCAGAGCAACCTCCACTTTGCCTTATCTAAATAAACAAAACCGTAGACTATTTTGTACAAAGACACCAAAACCATGGTTTATTAAAGGACAGTGTTACTCCAGATAACACGTAAGTTTCTTCTTGCTTTTCAGAGAGCCACTTTCCTCCTCTCTTCTCACTTCCCTGCAATCTTCCTTGCCCCTCACCTGTAAGATATTATTTTATCCTATGTTGAAAGAAGGGGGAAGTCCCCTTATATGACAACCGCATTCTTTTTATTCATGGACTTGTTTTAAAATGTAAATTGCAACATAGTAATTTATTTTTAATTTGTAGTTGGATGTTGTGGACCAAACGCCAGAAAGTGTTTCCAAAACCTGACGTTAAATTGCCTGAAACTTTAAATTGGTTTTTTTTCTCATTATAAAAAGGGAAACTGTATTAATCTTATTCTATCGTCTTTTCTTTCTTTTTGTTGAACATATTCGTTGTTTGTTGATTAATAAATCACCATTCAGCTTGAATGAGACCCACATGTCTGGATACTTTAATGCAGCCTTAATTATTATTGAAAAAGATTTCAGAGATAAAAACACTAGAAGTTACCTATTCTGCACCTAAATCTCTGAAAAATAGAGAAACCCTCTGACTAGTCCGTGTCAAATTGCACAAAGAGTCTTTTTGTTTAGATTTATTTTCCTCTAGCATCTTCTGCAAAATGTACTATTATAGTCAGCTTGCTTTGTGGCTAGTAAAAAGATATTTTCCTAAACCTGTCTGAGTTGGCATATAAAGAAATAAGATTTCTCAGTCATGACAGAATAGGATTTGGAAATTTTAAGCCCATGAGTCAGCAGCGGTCTTTCCACAGTGATACCCGCACACCAGCGATGGGAATGTGCCTCCAGAGAGGCGCAGATCGGTGTTTGGCTTGTGCGTCCCAAATGGAATTGCCATGCATATTACGTCCTGTGAGCCAGATGCTGAATGAATTTTTCCTATTAATTTCAGTCTTTTGTAAGAGGGAAAATAAACCAGTTTTTAAATGTATATATATATAACTCATCCACATTTACAGTCCTTCATGTATTACATAGAAGGATTGATATTTTAGAAAATATATTGAGGGTTGGAAAGGGATATTTAACCTTTGGGAAACTATTTTAGAAGATATCTTTGTAGAACAATTATTTTTGGAAAAGATTTAAAGCAATAATAAGGAAGGAGAGAAGAGCAGAACATTTTAGTCTAGGGTGGTTTCTTTTTAAACCAATTTTTCTTGTTAATTTACAGTTAAACCTAGGGGGCAATCCAGATTGGCCCTCTCTCCTTTGTAAATAACCCAGGAAATGTAATAAATTCATTATCTTAGAGTGATCTGCCCTGTCAATCAGACTTGGGGAGATGGCGATTTGATTACAGACATCAGGGCCTTCCAGTTTGTTTTCGAGATAATACAGTTCCCTGCTATCTGCCGTCCTGTCTAGAGGCAGCACTTCAGCAATAATTGCTGTTGCTTGTGTCAAAATTTGGTCATTGTTAAAGGATTGCTGCAAATAAATACACTCTAATTCCAGTCAAAAACTGCTTTACGTGGCCTCTGATTCGCTCGGTCCCCTCCCCCAGAGCCGTAACCGAATAGCCAGGGAAGAGCGGCGGCGCTGCTCCGTGTCCCCTCGGGTCAGGCCGGCGGGGCCGCCTGGCCGCCGCTTTAAACCTCGCTGGCTGCCGCAGGCCTAGGTCCTGGGGCTGCTTGCAGCTTCCTGGGTTACCTCTTTGGGGATGGCGGGTGGGGGTGAAGGTAAAGAATCCGTCCACACAGCCCGTGGAGTTTAGTGCATCGATCCACTCTTGAGAACCGAGCATGGAGCTGCGAGCTGCGCACACGGGCGGGGGCCGGGCCGGGCTGGGCGCAGAGGGGGCTGCAGCCCTGCGGGCGGACGGGATGACCCGCCCGAGGCCGGGCAGCCAGAGACGGTTCTCCACCTGTCTGCTCCGACTTCTTGGAGTAGCGGGTGGGAGTGGAAACCCGTGGGCCCGGCTTCCCAGCCGGGGCGTTCCTCCGGGACCCAGGCCTTTCGGAGCCGGGCCGCCGCCACGCGGGGACGCTCCCCAGCTCCGCGCTGTAGCTGCCGCCGGCCAGGCCGGCCTCTGCGTCTGGGGCTTCTTCCTCCCCCTCGCCTGCCGCCGCCCCGCCGCCTCCTCCCCAGATTCCAGCCCGGGTCTCCGCCGCCGCCTCCCGAAGTAGGTGGCTGGGGAGAAGAGTCCCTGCGCACGGCTGCCGGGACGGACGGTTCGGCGCAGGGGCGCGGGCGCCCCGAGACCGCGCTGCGGGAAGGTGGCGAAGGGCAGGGCGAGTGCGCGCAGGGGACCAGGGCGCCGCGCCGGAGAAGCGCCTTCGGGGCTCTGCCGCGACGCCCAGGCGGAGCCGAGAGGAGCCCGCCTCTGCCCTCCTCACCCCGGGGCTCCGCCAGGCGCAGCCCGGCCCCACTGCGCTCCCGTTTCCTCCTCGCTCGCCGTCCTTGTTTTGAAGACACACGTGTGTTTCGGAGCCCAGCCGGGGTGGAAAGGTCAGAGGCACTTCATTGCTCACGGGTGACAGCTCGGCCCGCAGCCTCAAGGCGCGGGCTCGGAGCCGTGCGTCTGTGGGGCCCCAGCCCGCCCGGCCCCCGCCCACTCGCCTCAGCCGCCCGCCGGACTTGCCCAGGCCAGCACCGGGCAGCGGCCTTCCCGGCAGGGCTGTGTCCCCGCGCGGTGAGTGAGGTCGGTGTGCAGAGGCCGCCAACCGCTGGGCAGTGGCCGTGCGGGGAGTCGCTCGACCTAACGGATGGGAGAGGCCTTCGGGCGGGCGTGCGTCGGCTTGGTGGGTTCGGGGTCCACGTGCCCACGGCCTTCCGCGTCTCCTCGGCCTGGGCTTTGCAGCCCTGAGGATGTCGCGTGGCCTAGGCCTAGCCCAGGCCTGCGCGCTCGGCCGGCTTTCTGCTAGGCTGCTCCGCTCTGCGAGGTGTGCTGCGGGACGGCGAGCCGGGCTGCTCGGGGGAGCGCAAGCGGCCTGCGGCCCAGAAGGCTGTCAGGGTGAGCTTGGCGACGGGAAGAACCCGCTCACTCCTGGCTGGATGCGGAGTGGGCTGCATGCGGGCCTCTCCTTTCTTTGCTGGGCCCCAGGTCCCCGCGGCTGGAGAAGCCAGCGGTGTGAATGTGGCGCTCCCGCTTGTGGGGCGCGAGGAGCCCAAGAGCTTGCGGGAGGAGAGCTGCCTAGCAACTGCTCTCCCCTCCTTGATGAGAAAGTTTGACAATTAGGCATGGAAAATATATGTGTCCCAGAAGGTGCTTGTGTTAAACGCATCTAGAGAAAGTAGTTTTTTCTGCACGAGTTGCTTGCATGACAGTTCAGAAGCTGTATTGAGTGGAAAGAGAGAGTCGCTATTCCGAGTTGTAAAACTGCATGTGATGTCTTCTATACTTCACCTTTTGGATTTTCATCCAATTTAAGAAAACCAACTTCTTGCCTACTTTATTTAACCTGGAACTACTTATTCCTTAGAGGTTTGCATGCTTGATTTGTACTCGTTTTTTTTTTTTTTTAGAAATAAAGATAATTTTTCTGTGAAATATTCTGAGAAAAACTCCTTGATATTTTAACTACTAGCCAGTACATTCTGCAATGAGCTTGTGACAGCAGTCCAGACCCAGGGTGGGGAATCGGCTAACTGAAAATAGCCTCTGCAGAAAGCTTTAGGATAGTAAGTATTTTGTCCTTTATGTAGCAGTAGGAACATTTATTTTCTTAGCAATTTATACCATGAGCATGTAAGTGCCAGCATGTGACATGCCGTATAGAATCTTGCATTTAGCATATTGCATGTGTGCTAGGAACGTGTGCTGTTTTTCAGAGTTGTGTAGTTAGCAGGCCTGTTAGACCAGACTGCATGCAAACAAGCATGCATTTTACGATTTATTATTCCATGCAGTTTGTGTCATTAATAATCAATGTTTACAGAGAAATAAGGCTGGATTGTATGGTGGCTTGTAAGTTCTTGGCTGTTTCCTGTGGGGTCAGAAACAAGGGTCAGGAAACAAGAGTGCCTTATAGCCCTTTTGGGCTCCCCCTAACTTTGGTAGGTGAGGAAGGGACATAGGACCTTTTCTCTCCCACCCAGTTCACTTGGGGTGGGGGTTTCAGTTTTTAAGGTGCAGTGCTGTTCGTTTTGTTCTTAATGTGGTAAAATCTGAGAGTCCCTGAACCCTCTGCTGGTTCGTGCTGCCTGGCTGGACTGCCCAGGAGGGACAGGAGGTGTCCATCCTCCATCAGGCCTCAGGCACCTACTCCAGCACTGTCAGAAGCTGGTAGTGGCACCTGAAGCAAGGCCATTTGGGGCGACAGTTCCTATCTTCACCCCACATCTTGGCGCTCTGGGAGAGGCCCATTTGCTTCTGAGCCCAGCTGAGTGCCCTGCCACTGGGTCCTGCCTGGTGTTGCAAGGCCTTCTCTGTCCCCTCTAGTCATTTGACGGCCGGTTCATGAAGCCATTAGCCCTTCCCACCAGATATAAACAAATGTCGTGTTAGGGGCAAGATCGATGGTGGCCAAGTAATGAAGCTGGCCAGGCAGGACAGAATATGATTCTGTGTGGGCAGCCATTCTTCAGCGAAGCAGAGGGACTGGAGTGTGGGGAGAAAAGGGACCAGGAGACTATGTCAGAGTCATCACCCCACTAAGGTAGGGGGCATAGGCTCAGGAGAGCTCCCAGCAAGGGAAGTCTAATTTATTCAGACAAAGGTCACCAGCAGGAAGAGAAACACACTGACATTTGCTATGGGGCCCTAAATGCCAGCTTCAGAAACTTCACTTTTCTAAAATCCTCTATGTCGATTTATAACATGGCCAAAAGATTCCCTGCAAGGAAGTTTCATTAATGGTGCTTTCACTCCCACCTTAACAGAATGTCTTCCTTTGCTGTTGGGCTCTATCTTCAGAGCTGGGACTTCTGTGGCCCTGATTCCCCAACCCCTTTATTCCCTCTCCTTCTTTTTGAGTGTGAATCCAACATAACCATGAATTTCAGTGTGTCTTTGTGTCTCTATCCCTCTGTCTCTTTGTCACTTTCTCTCCTTCACCCTTCTCCCTTCCACCCTCCCACAAAAAGGCCCAGGGGCCCTGAAATTTCTCCAGGATGTCCCTACTCCCAGCTTGCCACCCTGGTGGTCTGCAGGCCCACCCTCCACTGGGCCATCTGGGGGATGGGCAGGATGCCAGCCTGACCTAAGTGAGCTTGTGCCCAGGCCTGGGACAGACCTGGGGCCACTTGGGAGCAGCACTGGCAGGTTCCAGGTCTGAGTCCGAGTCCCACTGGGAGGGGAACAATGCTTAAGTAAATGAATCTCAGCTCCAAAACTCATTTGGGAGAATGAAAGCTGCTTCTCCACAAATGAACATTCTCAACGTGATTAGGAGTGGAAAATTGAGCAAAATGTACCATGTCCACCTTATTGGGAAGCAAAATAAGGAACAGATAGCATAAGGCTCAACTCAAGACCTTTATTGTGCTCCTTTCCCATCTTACTCTGGCTCCAAAGAAACCCTCTGTTTTTATTGCTATTACTGGTTGTTTACTTGATTTTTTCCCTCACTGATTTTAAATTTGCAGTACATTGAGCATATTATGGGTGATGCACTAGGATCTGGAATTTCCTTGCGTATGGACCTGGGCTTGTTTTCCTGTCTTGTAGAAGGGTACTCCCAGTGGGAGACACAGCCAAGGAGAATAGGTCAGGTCTGGCATTGCATCAGCTCAGTATCCTGGTCTAGGTTGGGAGGTGACTGGGCAGACCTCCTGGGTCTTCCTTAGCCTTTCATCTTTCCAGATGATGCCTTTTTCTCTTCTCCCAAAAAGCATCTTCTTTCTCTGGCGCGCTCTTGGGCCCCTCCAAGCCTGCTGGTCCCCATGTATGTCATTTGGACTAGATTGCCCACCCTCTCCCTGCAGCTACTCCTGAACGTTACTCCTAGGAAGGGGACTAGGTAGGCTGTTCATTTGTCCCCTAAGCCAACACAGCTTGGTGCTACTTGGGTTCGAATGGAAGAGCAATTTGTAAGCCCAGCGAGTGAACTAAGGCGTGGGTGGCAAGGGCCTGGCAATGTTAACCTAAGTGGTGGGGCCCCAGGCAGGGCCAAGAGACTCAGAAGTGACTCCAGTGAGGGACTTGGGCAGGGACATGGAACTCAAGCTTGGGAATGAAGGAGTTTGCTGGGTGGTTTTGAGGATGACTTAGAACCAGAGGTGGAGTGGGAGAGAGAAAAGACGGACACCCCCCTCCCATTAGCTACCCCAGGGGAAAAGCAGGAAACCCAACGCATTTAGCGCCATTATTCTTAAGGCCTTTGCATGTCCTTCAGAGTAAAAGCAAGTCATTGGTCCCAGAGGCTGTGCTAGGGTTCATTTATGGCTACAGAGGTACAAACTGGACAGGGATGGGGAGCACATGATTCAGCGGCCATCGAATTGTTTAAAAGCTGCTGGCAGACAGAAAACGCGAACTGTGTCCTCTGACTTAGCAAATCGGCATCCCGGACGGTGCGCAGG